GTCCTTGTCCAACATCGAATAGGTTGCCAGTAATTTCAAGTGGAAATAGACCGCAAAAAGTCCATTATGCGTTATGTTCAAGTAAAGTACGCAGCCACACCTTAGCCATTATCGGGATATGATAGTAAAAACATGCTTCTTGTTAAATGCGCGTAAACGCCCTTTCTCAAACAATATTTAAGTACGGACTCCGCAAAGCATTCGTCTCTCATATACTATGAATTCCTGAGATGTGGTAGGCGTGGCCGCGTACATCAACTAAACGTGCAGCTATGTTTTGTGAGAGATATTTTCATTTTGATACAATTGTGTTCGTGTCTCTGTCCAACACAGAACAAGATGACAGTTGTCTCAAAAGTGAAATATTGCACGAGTACCCATTCTGTGCCATTTTCATAATGCCACGCCTACTCTGTCTCGGGGATGAATGAAAGGTCATTGCTTCTTTTTCAATAAGTCTGGCAATTTAGTATGATTACTAGTTTGCCTCCGGTAAAGGAACATGCTGACTGTTTTTTGACGCAATTAACGGTGCACTACTGAGTTTTAGAGACATCTACTTATGAGAAGGCCAACTCACGTTCATGCTGTGTTCGGCCAAAGCCTAAAACGAGAAGGAAAACGATAAAATGAATCAAACAAAACCCGTAAAAACTTACTTGTTGTTTGAGCAGATCCTTGTAATATTTTTCAATAAGTTGTTGCGTTGACGTCTGATTTAGTGACAGCAATTTAACCAGTGCCTTTAAAGAGAAATATTTCTCTCAGAAACGGAAGGTTTTCCAAAAGGCATGTACAAAAGCCAAGTCACTGACCACATGCTCTGGACACGTCTCCAGTACTTCCATTGAAAGGCCTTTACCACCTGCATGGAAGAAATCGACAAGAACATGCCACGCTTCAAACAGCCGATGGTAGAAGGCTGGTTCCATCTGCAGAAAGAAGTGTCGCCTCAGAGTATATACCATTTTCACTTTGAATTCTCCACTTTTCAAAGCAAATTCACCACTTTTCAAAGCAAATTCACCACTTTTCAAAGCAAATTCACCACTTTTCAAACCAAATTCACCACTCTTTTTAGACCGGGCAGTTCACCCACCAGATCACGCCAGACACCACTGCGAACCCTGCCTCGACGGTCACGGACATAGATTTTCAACACATGGCCGAGTCTTCAAAGGGTTTGTTGCGAACTTCGAAATTTCATAACTTTTTCAACTTTTTAATTTCACATCCACTCTTTGCACAGCGAAGATACTCGTAACCGCGCATTCATGCTCCGGCAATTCAGGCTCCGCCCCCTTGGCCACGCCCACTTGCTTTTTGCGGAATTTTGATATTTTTTCAAAATTTTTGCATTTTTGGACTGCTCCACGAAGCCCCGCCCACTGAGAGAGGCTCCGCCCACTTTGAAGAAGCCCCGCCCACTTTTCAAAAATGGTGCAGATCGGCAGTATAGAGCCTTGGCTTGCATGCTAGGGTCTCGTCCGTCACTCGGAACAAGAAATCAGGCAAAGTTTATTCTTAGGAAGTGAACGAACGAGGCGCATAGCAATCGCACGCCAAGCTTCACTACCTGCGATCACTGCCAGCCAATTTAACGTGGGCGGGCCTCCCCCCCACACCAACCCCCCAGCCGTCTCCAGCGCCTCCGTACTTAAGTAAATTTCAAAGGTGGGCGGGGCCTCCTCAAAGTGGGCGGGGCTTCGTTGTCGGCAGTCAGTCGCAAAAAATGCACATCATTCTTGCAAAAAAAATTATCTAATGAAATTGCGCGGACAAAATTAGCAAGAGTGAGCGGTTGAACCTATTGGGCCTGGATGGGAGCCTTGAAGGTGGCCGACAGTAGTCATGTAAATGCGCCGGTTATAAGCGAGTGCTCTCGGCTGTGCCACAAGAGTGGGATGTGAAATTATAAATAGTTGAAAATCATGTTATGAAATTCTCAGAAAGTTTCCGACGGAACAAACCCTTCAAAGACTGGGCGGAGTCGGCCCTGTGTTGAAAATCTATGTCCGCGCTGACAAGTAGGCGTGACCGTCGAGGCAGGGTTCGCAGTGGTGTCCGGCGTGATCTGGTGGGTGAACTGCCCGGTCTAAAAAGAGTGGTGAATTTGGTTTGAAAAGTGGTGAATTCGCTTTGAGAAGTGGTAAATTTGCTTTGAAGTGGTGAATATAAAGAAGACGGTATATATACCCCAATGTTAGACTGAATAAAATCGGATGGACTGAAGATTCTAAAAATTTCTTGAACTTACCCCAGGGTTTTCATCGACACATTCCCTCAGAAGATGCACAACAATACCGACTTGGGCTGACATAACTCGCAAAAAATTCTTATGTAAAAGATTCTTATGTACAGCTGAGAGTTCGATGTCAATCTGAAAGTGTAGAACTGAGAAATTTCAATGAAATGGTTGATGGATGAAAGTGAAGTCGGCAAAGGCGCCAAACAGCAGCCTGTAAGGGCACGTTAAGGTTATTAGTCAGAGATCCCAACGGTAGAGAGGCGGTGCGGGTGTTTGCATCTCGGGAAAATGTTTCCGGTTGTTCACCTTCTTAGTTTTTTTTCCGTTTCATTGGCGCTATATATGGTTGATAATACTGCAATCAAGACTGGAGGCGGTGTTAGGAGGGCGGGATGAGCTCGGCTCCGTCTGCCTTGTTCTACCAATGGTGATCGGCTACGATCGATTCAGGAAGAAAACAACCAGTGATGGGAAGGTCGCAGGTGGAATCACTACACCGTCTTGAAATCGAGCCAGGTGATCGCGATGGACTTACTGTACATCCCGCTCAAAGGTAATTAGTTCTTGAGGCAATAACGGGAACTTTTTCGGAAAAATAGTAGAAAGACAGGGAGAATCTAGAAAGATGGTAGGTGGGGTGGCGATGAAGAAGGGCAGTCGTACCAGAAGGAATTTTCGAGGGGCCGCATTCTACGGAATTTGTCCAGGGAGGACCTGCCCGGCCCTTGTTTGAGGCACAATGTGATATAAAGAATCCGATTTATCAAAGCTGGGCTCCTGCTCAAGTTGCTCTGATGCATCCTACTAAAATGACGTTCAGCAAGTTTATTCGAGAGCGTCACATGCAGATTCCCCACCCTTCGTAAAGCGCGGCACCTTCACGGAGCGCTTGTGATTGGTGAATTGCTGACGATCACCAACCAGAGAAGCGTCGCACAGTGGTCGCGTGCATTCCCTTCAGAGACGCGACAAACATTTACATGTAGCCTATTCTGTTATTTTCCTATGCCATAATGGGCCAGATACATACGTGTGTGGTTCAGCACATCCGGCCATGACGGCAGCAAAGGAGGCGATACGAGCGGAGTTAATCGCACCAGGACCCAACTCACTCAACGTGGCAATGCTGCAACGTTTCAACTTTGCGCGCGATGGACTGAACGCATATGCGGTGACCACCAGTGGTTGATTACTTCGTAAGTCGATAATTAGCCGATCACCTTTGGTAGAGCAAGGCAGCTGAAGGCGGGCTCATCCCACCATTTCACACCCTCCCCCCTCCCCCGACTGAATGCGATTATGAAACTATCCATAGAAAACGTAGAATATCGAAATAACTAGATGATAAAAATAAATATGTAGCTACAGTGAAAACTCTGCATATAAACTACTATATGTGAAGCATACCATGTCAGTGAGCGGTTTCAATGAATCCTCGACCGGATGCGCCGTTGGACTCCATGCCAGATGGAACACATGTTTCTTCATTTGAGGTTTCAATCGTGCTGTGAGCAAGTCGACAACTCGGTCAATCTCAGCACAGATTGCAGCATCGGTCTGCTCCAGACGTTGCTCAACCGCCGTTTTCCACGTGGGAGCCCCCTTAAAAAAATTTTATGGGAGAACAGACAAGATCATAAGTTTGAAATAACAGGCTGTTACAGAAACTGACATTAGGCGTGAGATGAAGTGCACTGTTACTGTAATTTACACACACACACACACACACACACACACACACACACACACACACACACACACACACACACACACACACACACACACACACACACACACACACTCCTACTGGTTCGAATTACCGGGTATGTTGTACAAGTTTCCGGAGAAGGCAGTACCACTTTTTTGAAAATTATCGTATTTGAGAAGTGGGTGGGTCTCCATTGCGCCTTGTGCTCTTTTATCCTACCAAGGGTTAAGCTCAGAGCGCAGACGATCTGAGTCTCACGGAGAGGTCTGCTCGGCAAAATAGCCTCTCAGCCTACCATTGGTGGAAAGGAAGCAGAAGCGCTGTGAAAAGACCCTCCCCTCCCGCCCACACAATCCGCTAGCGCACATTTTTGCATTCCAAGCAAGTTATTATTTACTGCTTTTATGCTCCATTTATGCTAGAGGACCCACAGTCATGACGCCTACAAATGATGGGACGTGTAAAAGGGTAGGAGTTGGACCGCAGCCAGAAAGCTCTTCCTGCCAATCGCCGTGAATTTTTGACAAGGTCGACACCATCGGTCAAGAAGGTCTCCTTAGCAGGGCTTCAATCCACGCCCCGTTGACAGCCATATCGTTTTTAGGGATCATAACTGTACTTGCAATTGAAAAATACTGGTTAAAATATAAACTAACATGTCCAGCTCTTTCGTATGCGATAGCCAAATCGTCCAAATGAAGTTTTTCGTGAATCATTAGGCTTCGCCTCACTTGCTCACAGTTGTTTATGGCCGAACATAGCTGCAAATGATAATTAACAGAAAATAACCAAAAATCGTAACAAATTTGTTAAAAGTCCTTGGGAATCGAATAGCAGATTAGACGTAAAGTGAAAGTTGATTCAGTGAAATACTGATGAACTCACCAATTGCAGTAAGGGAGATGGTACAAACACTTGCAGTTCACCGGAAAACCCTTCAGCCTCGAGATTTGAAAAGATCTAAAAAGCTCAGTATCAACCAGTACGGAGTTGTGTAATACGCCGTTCCCCGAAGAAAACTCACCTTTTTCGTGTAAGTGAGGACAATGTCACAGAGAATATCGACAAGATCTTTTGTGTAGTCGATTTTCAAGGTGAGCTCGCTGACGTCAATACGATCCCAACAGACCGTCATCTGTAACAATACTCATGAACGACTACAATTTCCCAGTTTGTTAGTAACAAGTCGAACCTAACTCGACCTCTACTTGCTCAGGCCTACTACTATCATATTCTTTTGAAAGGTATGTAATATTTAAAGGCAAATTTCCCCGTTAGCAAGAAAGTCCATTCGCCTCGTAGTTAAGAACCTTGGGCAGCCATAAGCAAAAGTGGGCCCTCTAAGAAGCTCGAAAAGAGCGCAGGAAATTGGTTGCAAGCTTATCTTAGGCCCATGGGACCCAAGCAGTCGCATATTGCCCACGTAGGCGGCGCCGTGCTTTCTGTGTCTTTCTGATTTATCTCCCACATGCGCAGTCTCTCCCCACTGGTCGCTTGCACAATACTTGCAATCAAGTGAAAAACGGAGGGCCCTATCGAAGGCGTCTCCCTCTGTTGTTCCGCTTCTTACTTCATAGTTAAGTGAGGCACTTCCTTCACATTCGTATTTCTACCCAAGTGCCCTCATATGCAGTCGCGAGATGTGCCTTGAGTTTATTTCTGAGGGTCCTTCCAAAATCAAGGTCGGTAAAATGAGAACGCTAAGTATACGGTTGAGGAGGGAAGGGTCTCGATGCAACCAGAATGTTCTCAACGAAGCCGCTGGAAGTGGACAAGTTCGGTCAGAGGGGTCTTCATAAGGCCTGTGCAAGGTTCGCTGAGTAACATTTGGGGCACCCACCAGGCCGATTCGCGTTAGTATTTAAATTCGGATATGAACTTTTCATACCTGCTCGACGATGTGACAAACGTCGATGTGACTGCTTGAGTGGCGCATGTCGTTGGAAGATGTGCAGATCTGAATAGGACGTTTTGTCAATGAAAAGCTGGAAGTTCCCTGACATTCAAAGTAAAGCTGACATAATTCAACAAAGTTCTCAGTAATGGTCCGGAACAAAGGGGCTATCAGTGAGTCAGTAGAAAAGAAAAAAGTTAGCAGCTTAAACGAAAGAAGTGGAATTTACTTATCGTTAATAGAAAATTCTCATTCTTATAAACCCCCAGAGGCGCGTATCTTTTATGCAGTTTTGCCTGCACCTGATATCGTCACAATCAGCCGGGGCAGCGTCAACAAGCATGGAATGAGCCGCGGTGGTTCCCACATTAGGTAGGTTATTGTTTTCTGTCCTAAATCATCCAACTTGATCATTATAAATAGGTTAAAGGCAGTTGGCACGATAAATCGCTATACAGGTGTAGGATTTGCAACTGTGCAAGGATGTACAACTGGCTCAACAGGGAATTCGCGGTGACCTCGGACAGCGCTGTCCGTGAAATGCTTTTCCAAGGAAGGGTAACCTCTATACGCGTCCTAAGAGCTGAGCTACAACACTTTGACGTCCCAAACGCCTTCCTTGCCCGCCCGCCCACAAACGGACGACCGTTTCTGACGCTCGTATTCATTCATTTGCTGAGCAAATTATGAAGCAAAGGGATTGGTATGAAGCGGCGGTGATGCTGGTACACATATGCAGCCGTACCTTCGGTAGCGGTGATTGGCAAGGTGCGTACGGGAAACTCGTCCGGAATCGATTTACAAGTCACTGAGAACGGAGGCTCTTTTCTAATTGGGCCGGATTTGACGCGTTTTCACATGCCGTTCAAGTGGTGTCGCGGGATGCAATTGGTCCCCACTATAAGCGAAGGCGCCCTACTAGCATGTTGTAGTCATAAAAGTAGGAAACCATCGTGCCAAACTGCTTTTGAAAGGACAGCCAAGGAACAGGCTCAACGTGCGTTGCTCATGAGCATGCGCCGCCCAGACAGACGCAAGCTCGACGATATCTACCATGTGCAGTGACTTGCGGGGCCACCCGATGTAGAAGACAGTATTGAAGTCCTCTCAGACGTGGACTGGTGTGGCCCCAATCACATCTTAAGAATTATTAGTAACACAGGTTTCAGGGTTCAAAAACTTTAAGGGCTTGAAGGTTCTTCGTTAAAAAGTTCTTCTAAAATATCTGTAAACGAAGCGACAAGAAAGCGACAAGAAAAACTTCAACAATCATGATAACCTTAGGACGTACCGGTACATCCAACTGACAGCTAAGTGAAATACGTGCGAGGGCTTTTTCTTTCGCCAGCTCCAAGAAATTTTTGATGCCTCGGTTGAAGATGCCGTACCATTCCGACTCATCCTTACCCCGTCTGAAGAAATATAAAATCCATAGATGAGAAAAATAAATTACAGATTGGAATTTTGTAAGAACCACGTTTCTTGTGCACTACTCCTGCATTACCTTCCAGGAGTTAGATGGGAGTAAATAAAATAAGTAAGTGATTTGTGGATGTGAAAATATTTTGAGAGCCTCACACTCGATTGGCTAGCCGGTAGTTCCGCAGTTCCACAAATGCCATATGTATTCGTATCAAATCCACCAGGTCGTCTTCATTGGGCGGATTTTGATTGGCAGAAATCTTCATCTGAAATTTCGTGATGTAACGGGAGTGAACTTCACAGCGAGAAGTAACTGTTTACCAAAGAGGAAATAGGAAACATTCCGAGTGGAAATCTTGGAAGGGGTATAGGCCAACGGTCGGGCCGTCGCTATCGAGTGTTGCGTGCGAAATGGCTCAAAGGATGGAGTGCGCTGGGGGTCACAGTGTATAGGAAAATTAAAACGCTCTTTACGAAATGAGGCATAAATTGCTCGGCGTTCAGTGTTGGGTGGATGCCTCCTTCAACACCGGGATCTGAACCGTATTGTAGAGTAGGTTATTTTCACTCCACAGATGAGACACAGTAGGCGTAGCCGCGCACTTATGTACACGCCATATCCCTGAGATGCTCAAACACATTGAGGGTTATTCAGACTAGACAGCCCCCCAGCTGTCAGTTGTCCGTGGTTTCCCGCCTGAAACTGCACAGTGGGGTCTTGAGTACGACGTGTGATAAGCTATTCCTTGGCTACGCGCCGAAATGGCAACTTCGCGCGGCGAAATGCGCAATCTTGGCGCGCGGCATTGCATTTGGCCTGCTAGCAACGAAATAAAGCTACCCACGGTCCCTAGCGTTACTAGGAACCCCGTGCAGTTTCGGGCGGGGAAACCACGACACATCGACAGCTGGGGGGCTGTTAGTCTCATACACCCTTAATGTGTTTGAGCGTACCATGTGTCTTTAAGTACACGCCATATCCCTGAGATGGGGAGGGGGGGGGAGGCGTGCCTGGGTTGAACATGGCGAAACACACATTTCTTATGGGATCTTTCCATTTGGAATTAGTGTCTCCTCTGTTGTGCTGGGAAAAGAAGTGACTATTATCATTCCACGACGACAATGTCTCATTAAGAGCGCGCGCGCTTCCACACTCAAATGAAGTACGCAGCCACGCCCCCTTTTTAGAAGTTGGAGTATACGTAACGCCGCCGCCATCAAATGAACTAGGATTACAGAGATTGTAGTATAGGCGCCTGCGCCAGGACACGCGGTTTACATTGGAAAGGCAGCGGAAAAATTTAGTCTTTTCGCTGCGGATGTTGGGGGATTGGGTTTGGCGCAAAGCCAACCCAACATGTAGCAACTGTTGTCTCTTGCCCCTTTCAACAGTTGATGGGGAATGGGTCGGCGCTGCGCTAAACCCTTCCACTGACACGCTTAGCATCCGTAGCGAGCAGGACTGTAGTTCCAATAAATAAGCAAACGACTAGCTTCATAAATCGATGTGGAGCGAGTTAAATGTAATAGTACTAATAGTAATACTGCTCACCTGCGACCGTAGATCGGTTTTACGTTCACTCATCATCTCTGACGTGAGGTACTCGTTGAGCTGAAAGTCAAATTTTCAATCTCTTGTCAGCGAGAAAAAAATCACCCTGAACTTGATTCACACACCATTCGGTC